CATACACATACACATACACATACACATACACATACACACATACACGCACACATAACAGACGCCGCCGCTAACACCCCATATTGATTTCCCCGTGCCAGGTCTCGATAATGAATGCCTATGCTCCACGAACACCTGTAGCTGGAACAACTCAATTTTGTATATCCCTTATGTGGGGGTCGACTCGAAAGCCTAGTGCTACTTTGACTCTTACAGCACTCATTTTTTGTTAGTAAGTTCACGATTCTTTTTTATTTATACTCTCACGTTATACCTATCATACACCTGCTGTTGTAACTAAGTTAAATAAACTAAGTTAAACAATCTGAATCTGGAGGGGAGTGGCTGGTTATCTGCCTCCATGGTCTATGTATGCTCGTGTTCTTATACCCGGCGATACATCAAGCGCGATTCTAGTACATCAAGAGGTTACAGTAATGTGTGCTGACGGTGTTTCATCGGGGAGCTGGCATGCGCCTTCTGCTGAGAATGTAAATCCATAAATTTGAGTGGAATTACTGCTTCAAGTCACTGTAAAATGGCAGCGTTAACTCAGTGCAGCGTTATTGGTGGTGTTAGGAATGTGCAGCCATGACGCTGCAGTCGTATTATATGATTTGTTCCGTAGTTAGGCTTTCAATTATCATTCTGAGTAGTGTGCAAGCAAAGGAATAGGGTTGGTGGTTATGACACATAAGCGATCCGAAAGGATATGAAAGCGAAAAACTAATGTACAAGCATGTGCTAGGGCAAACGATTGCACTTGCAAAGTGGAGATAATTCCAGTGGGAAGTTTACACGCCGGTTCGTCATGCATCATGATCATAGGTCGTGACATCAAGATGAATTTTCGGAGACTGTTATGGAAATATCTCGTTTCTGAAAATTACTAGACGAACGATGTTGTATGAAAGCTTTTTAGTTGGGTCTTCGTGTTTTTGTTAAGCGCTACTGTTTAGCATTCTTATTTTGCATATTCTTGTTCTATGTTCTTATTCCTATTCCATGTTCTCGTTCTATGTTCCAAGTTTATTTTCTCATTATATTTTATCGTTCTCTTTCTGTGTTTGTGTTCTTTTTCATTCTCAATCTGTTGTCACTCTGTTTTCTTATTGTTCTCTGTTCTCCTCTTTTTGTTATTCATGTTTTGTGTTCTCGATACATATTCTCACTAGTCCTCTTCGCTTTTGTCAAATTTTCTTAATCTCTTTGTATGTTTCTTGTCCTATCTTCGTTGCTGTCATTATATGTTATTATTATTATTTTTATTGCATTCCATTTTTTTTATTCTCGTTCAGTGGTCTCTATCTATGCTCTTATTCTCCTGTATTCTTGTTATTTGCTCTTTTTCTTGTACTACTATCTTGCTCTATGTACTTGTTCCATGCTCATTCCCGTAATGTGCTCCCTGTTATATGAGCATAATCTCGTGATGTGCTCCCTGTTATATGAGCATAATCTCGTGATGTGCTCCTTGTTATAGGAGCATAATTTCGTGATGTGATCCCTGTTATATGTACATATTCTTGTTCTGTGCTCTCATTTCTCCATGTTCTCACTCTACTCTCTTCTACTTACCATTTGAAATGGTGTGTCTTCTTGTTTCCCTGGAAGGTCATGATGCCAGTGTGGGTGATGCCCACATACAGGTGACTGCCTTTCTGGTCCTGAAAACACAATGTACAGGTAAACGACCCTGCTAATCGAAGAAACACAATGTTAGCATAATCTAGTCTTCTACACAATGTACGTAACAGGTAAACAACCCTGCCAATCGAAGAAACACAATGTTAGCATAATCTAGTCTTCTACACAATGTACGTAACAGGTAAACAACCCTGCCAATCGAAGAAACACAATGTTAGCATAATCTAGTCTTCTACACAATGTACGTAACAGGTAAACAACCCTGCCAATCGAAGAAACACAATGTTAGCATAATCTAGTCTTCTACACAATGTACGTAACAGGTAAACCACCCCTACACAAAATATACAAGCCAACGACATCCTAACTAACAATAAATACAGGTAAACTACGTTTCTATACAATTAACAGGTAAACTACGCTTCTATACAATTAACAGGTAAACTACACTTCTATACAATGAACAGGTAAACTACGCTTCTATACAATTAACAGGTAAACTACGCTTCTATACAATGAACAGGTAAACTACACTTCTATACAATGAACAGGTAAACTACGCTTCTAACAATGAACAGGTAAACTACACTTCGTATACAATGAACAGGTAAACTATGCTTCTATACAATGAACAGGTAACTACGCTTCTATACAATGAACAGGTAAACTACGCTTCTATACAATGAACAGGTATAACTACGCTTCTATACAATGAACAGGTAAACTACGCCTTATACAATGAACAGGTAAACTACGCTTCTATACATATGAACAGCGTGAAACCACCCCAACCCCACCCCACCTCCACCACATCCCCACCACACGCACACCTCCCTTCCAGCACAGCACAATCAGCTAGTAAATTGCTAGCAGCCTCCCAACGGCGGCAGCATCACAATAATTGGCCGACATTGCCACAGGGTGTCGTGCTACAATGCGTTCATGTGCATGCCCTAACTATCCAGTGTGCACATCGTTGGCTAATAGGCCTGAGTGGCACTAAATCCCCTCGCACACATGGGCGGCGGGGTTATTCTGTGATATTCAGACTAGAGGGATAATCTCGCGAATTGATCCGTCACGCGTGCTCTCTGCACGTGCTATTACTGACGGACGCTGCCACTTGGCCGAGTCACCGTCCCCACGGGATGAGCGCCAATCGAAATGCATAATTATAGCTGCTTCTGCTGCTGCTGCTGCTGGTGTGGTGGTGGTAGTGTGGTATGCAGAGATGCAGCTGCTAGGATGCTGGGAAGTTACTGGGACAGGAGGGTGCTACTGTTGCTGCTACTACTGCTGCTGCTGGTGGTGGTGGTGTTGATGCTGTTGCAGCTATTGCTGCTACTGCTGCTGCTGCTACTACCACTCCTGCTGCTGCTGCTGCTGCTACTGCTGCTGCTGCTGCTGCTGCTGCTACTGGTACTGCTACTGCTACTGCTACTGCTACTGCTACTGCTACTGCTACTGCTACTGCTACTGCTACTGCTACTGCTACTGCTACTAGCCTACTACTACTACTACTACTGTTACTGCTGCTGCTGTTGCTGCTGCTCCTGCTGCTACTACTACTACTACTACTACTACTGGGATTACAAGCTGCGGCTGCCTACACAAACGTACCATATATAGGGGAGCTGGGCTTGGCACACATACAATGCATTCTAAGCAATGCACAAACCACAACGACCCGCAGTGACCTGTTCAGCACTGACCTTCACAGGATGAGGGTCAACTCCATACGTGTCGAACGCCGATGCCTTCTTGATGAAGTTGAGTTCGGCCGTGGCCGGAGTCTGACCGCTGAAAAGATGGTGCGGAAGTGAGCTTCACATACAGGTGCTGCACGCGAAACAAATGACCTGTCGTGTGTAACAGTAACGTGTATACCATAGATATATCCTCGATTCATGCAGGCAATTTTACCTAACCCTACATACAGACGTGATCTACCCATACCTAATTATGCTTGATGTTACCTTCCTGGGCTGATCTTGGTGTTACCTACCTGAGCTAAGCTTGATGTTACCTAGCTTACCTGAGCTAAGCCTGATGTACCTTACCTGAGCTGATCTTGATGTTTCCTTACCTGTGCTAAGCCTTGTGTTACCTTACCTGAGCTGATCTTGATGTTTCCTTACCTGTGCTAAGCCTTGTGTTACCTTACCTGAGCTGATCATGATGTTACCTTACCTGCGCTAAGCTTGGTGTTACTTTACCTGAGCTGAGCTTGGTGTTACCCTATCTGAGCTAAGCTTGATGTTACCTTACCTGAGCTGATCATGATGTTACCTTACCTGAGCTGATCTTGATGTTACCTTACCTGAGCTAAGCTTGGTGTTACCTTACCTGAGCCGAGCTTGATGTTACCTTACCTGAGCTAAGCTTGGTGTTACCTTACCTGAGCTGATCTTGATGTTACCTTACCTGTGCTAAGCCTTGTGTTACCTTACCTGAGCTGATCATGATGTTACCTTACCTGCGCTAAGCCTTGTGTTACCTTACCTGAGCTGATCATGATGTTACCTTACCTGCGCTATGCCTTGTGTTACCTTACCTGAGCTGATCATGATGTTACCTTACCTGCGCTAAGCTTGGTGTTACCTTACCTGAGCTGATCATGATGTTACCTTACCTGCACTAAGCTTGATGTTACCTTACCTGAGCTGAGCTAGGTGTTACCTTACCTGAGCTGAGCTTAATGATACCCACTGAGCTGAGCTTAATGATACCCACCTGAGCTGAGCTTAATGTTACCCACGAGCTTGAGCTTGGTGAATCTCAGCAATCTTCTCCTCCTGCTTGGGTGTCTGCTTCAGCAGGACCTTGAACTCTGACACGTATCCCTCCTGATGTACGTCTGGGTCGTAGTCTCCAAGCTCAGCTGCATCACAAAGCCATATATCAGTAGGAAGCACGGATGCTGGAGTGCAGAGATGTAGGATGACTTCAGAGATGCGGGATGCTGTTTGATGCTGTGATATTGGGTAGTAGTGATGCAGAGATGTGGGAATGCAGAAGGGATGCATGATGTAGGGATACTGACATGCAGAGTTGCGGGGATACAGGGACGTTTCATGTCTATGAATAAAACACCAATGTATTAACAAACTATCCTTTTTTGCTTCTTTTTCATCTCTCCATATTTTTCCGCTCATTCTATTTTCTCCTTCTCTCTCTCCCCCACTTTTCTTCCTCCCCTCTTCCTTCTCTTCTTCTCCTGTCCCTCTCTGTCCCATATCCCTCCCTCCTTCCTCCTGCTCCCCTTCTTCTCCCTCCCCTCTCCCTCGCCTCTCCCTCCCTCCTTCCTTCCTCCTCCTCCCTTTCCTCCTCCTCTTCCATCACACTCACACTGTATGACGTGCGCGGCGAGCCAGGCTGAGTCGCTGGGAGAGCAGAACAATCTGCCGTGGAGCAGGTCCCTGCCATCTGCAGGAACAGCTGGTAGGCGTTGATCTCCTCCTGCAGCTTGCTCGGGTCCGGCGGATAGAACTTAACGACGGAGCAGAAGATACGGCTCATGACCTACGAATGTCAAACCAGTGGTCAACGTGACGACTATACGACATTACGAATGAATGCCATAGGTGGTTACACTTACAGTGGCATAGTTACAACAGAACAATGGGAACTCAATTACTTTAGAGTAAGACATCATATCAGTGAGTATACATCATCAAAGTACCGCCTAGGTAGAAATCTTAAATCAGTCGTGAACGTGATGACTATATGACAGTATGGATGAATGCCAAAAACAGAACAACTAGAACCAAATTACTACAGAGTAAGACATCATTACAGTGAGTAAGACATCATTACAGTGAGTAAGACATCATCAAAGTACCACCTAGGTAGAAATCTTAAATCAGCCGTCAACGTGATGACTATATGAAAGTATAGATGAATGCCAAAAACAGAATAACCAGAACTAAATTACTACAGAGTAAGACATCATTAGAGTGAGTAAGACATCATCAAAGTACCACCTAGGTAGAAATCTTAAATCAGTCGTCACCGTGATGACTATATGACAATACAAGTGAATGCCAAAAACAAAACAACTAGAACTAAATTACTATAGAGTAAGACATCATTAGAGTGAGTAAGACATCATCAAAGTACCGCCTAAGTAGAAAGGTTAAATCAGCCGTGAACGTGATAACTATATATGATATTACAGATGAATGCCAAAAACAGAACAACCAGAACTAAATTACTATAAAGTAAGACATCATTAAATAGAGTGAGTATAAGACATCCTCACAGTACCTAGAACGTAAATAGTAAGAAGTACTGAGACCTACTTTAATAGAGTGAAGTTAGGGCAAGGTTGGTTTAGGGCGGTTAAAGTTCGGTTGAGAATAATGATGTATGTACAAGGATCCTAATAGCATAGATTAAACATTAAATTAATTTTTTTTTTTTCATTATATAAAGTATAATATTTAAATAATAAACTAATTATAAAGCAGAACCGAGGCACTGACACAGGTCTACCAACAATAAGCCAGCACGCTACCTCCACACCCATCAACTCTTACCTTTCATCTGCCTCAAGATGGTCTTCACAGGGTCCAGCCAGTGCTGAAAGACGAGAGAGAGAGAGAGAGAGAGAATTATAAACGACAGGCACTTAGTGACTGAGATAAATTCACAACGAGATGAACGAAAATCGGAACACTCCCTTGAGATGTCAGAAAATTCTGCGATCAATTGAATTTCGCGTTCTTCCCACCATCTCTCTTCCTCTATTCCTCACATCCTCTTCTCCTGGGGTAGCTACGCACGGGAATTCTCGAGTCGGAAAGTTTTACAGGATGATTGAACGAGGAAAATTCATTCTGCACGCAATGCCTCGGGTGATGGATTGTAGGGTGTGTCCCTCCCACCCCCGAGTGCCCCTCCCCCAGCCTGACCAACACCTCTTACCCGTTGCTTGTGCTTGTCTATGTAGCGCAGGCCAAAGTAGTCTTTCTCAATCAGGTTCAGGTGGTTGCAGATGTGATCAAGGAGGTCCTGACCCAACGTGTCCTTCTGCAATGTATAGTGCAGATATTGATTAGAAATGCGCAAACCTCTTTTGTTTCTAATCTTTCAATCCCTTGCAGTTTTCACCGTAGACATTCCAGCGTCAACTGATCATGTGTGGACAACCAGATTTCCTTTATAGTAATATATTCACTTATACTGACACACACACATAACAGGCTCCAATTAGCAATCGGGGATGAATTGCACGATCGCCCTACAAACCTTCTGTAATTCAATATATAATAAATTGTAAACATATTTATATACATATATACATATGTGTGTACTAGGAATGCATGTGATATCTGACTTGCGACAACGATTATGTTTATTCCAGCACCACGAAATCGACATCGCGAAGCCCTGTGACCTTCACCATTGGTGGCAGTGCCAGCCGAAGGTCACCACGAGAGCGCGCTGATGCCGAATGCCGTCGCCGGCGCACCCTCTACTCTCTCGCACGCAACCGAGTTTACCCCGCCTCGATTTACGATAGTCAGCCGGCAGGTTTTACGCGCCGAGACGATTTACTGCCACCTCGTCATGACACGTGACAGCGCGAATGTTACAAGAATGTGATAATGTCACAAGAAAGCGGCGACACCGTTGCAAGAATGTTGTGGCAATAATGTGTGACTGCCAAAGGAAAAGGAGAGAACTTAGGGACGGAGAATCCACATTTGTTCAGAATGTTTTCCCCACATAAAAATGACAAATTCCCAAGGTCATTTACGTAGGTAGTAATGACTAACTCGTAATACTACTACTACTACTACTACTACTACGGGTAAGGTAACACAAGCTTAGCGGCAGGTAAGGTAACATATGATCGCTCAACTCAGGTAACATCCAAGCTTAGCGCAGGTAAGGCTAACATCATGATCAGCTCAACTAAGGTAAAATCAAGCTTAGCGCACAGGTAAGGTAACATCATGATCAGCTCAGGTAAGGTAACACCGAAGCTTAGCGCGCAGGGAAGTACATCATGATCAGCTCAGGTAAGGTAACACAAGGCTTAGCGGCAGGTAAGGTAACATGCATGATCAGTTCAGGTAAGGTAACACAAGGCTTAGCGCAGGTAAGGTAACATTAAGCTCAGCTCAGGTAGGTAAATCAAAGATTCAGCTCAGGTAAGGTAACACCAAGCTTAGCTGGCAGGTAAGGTAACATCAAGCTCGGCTCAGGTAAGGTACACCAAGCTTAGCTCAGGTAAGGTAACTCAAGATCAGCTAAGGTAAGGTAACATCAGCTCGGCTCAGGTAAGGTAACATCAAGCTTAGCTGCAGATAGGGTAACACCAAGCTCAGGCTGCAGGTAAAAGTAACACAAGCTTAGCGCAGGTAAGGGTACATCATGATGCAGGCTCAAGGTAAGGTAACACAAGGCTTAGTGCAGTAAGGAAACGATTCAAGATCAGCTCAGGTGGGTTAACATTCAAGCCTTAGTTCAGGTAAGGTAACATCAAGGCTTAATGCCTCAGCGTAAGGTAACAATCAAAGCTTAGCTCAGGTAGTAACACCAAAGATCAGCGCCAGGAAAGGTAACATCAAAGCATCAACTAGCGTAATGGCTAGTGAATCACGTCTGTATGTAGGCTTATGGTAAAATCGCCTGCATGAATCGAGATATATCATAGGGTACTACACGTTACTGTTACAACACGACAGGTCATGATTGTTTGTCGGCGTGCAGCAACCTGTATGTTGGAACGGCTCACTTCGCCCCACACTGATCTTTCAGCTGGTTCAGACTCCGGCACGGCCGAAACTAACTTCAATCAAGAGGCATCGGCGTTCGAGCACGTATGGAGTTGACCGCGCGTGCATCCTGTGAAGGTCCAGTGCTGAACAGGCTCACTGCGCGCGTCGTTGTGGTTTGCTGCATTTGCTTAGAATGGCATTGTATTGTGCTCAAGCCCAGCTCCTCTATATATGGTAGCGTTTGTGTAGGCACCGCCAGCTTGTAATCGCAGCTAGTAGTAGTAGATGTAGCTAGCAGCCAGCAGCCCAGAGCAGGCAGCAGCAGTAAACAGTAGTAAGCTAGCTAGTAGCAGCAGCAGCAGCAGCAGCAGCTAAACAGTTAGTTAGTAGCAGTAGCCAGTAAGCAGTAGCACGTAGCACTAGCAGTAGCAGTAGCTAGTAGCAGTAGCAGTGCAGTAGCAGTATGCAGTAGCAAGTTAGCAGCTAGCCAGTAGCAGTAGGGCAGCAGCAGCTAGCAGCAACAGCCAACAACGCAACAGCCAACAGTAGTAGTAGTAAGCACTAGCAGTAGCAGTAGCAGTAGCAGCTAGGTTCAGTAGGGAGTAGCCAGTAGGCAGTAGGCAAGGCTAGCAGTAAGGCAGTGCAGCAGCACAGCAGCAGAGCAGGCAGGCAAATAGGCTGCAACAGCATGCAAACACTACACCGAAGCCAGCAGCAGTAGTAGCCAGCAACAGTAGCCCCTTCTGGTGCCCAGTAACATTCCAGGCATCCTAGCAGCCTGCATCTGCTGCATACCACAACCACCAGCCACCACCATACAGCGCAGCAAGCAGCAGCAGCACCATCCATAGTAATTATGCATTTCGAATATGGCCTCATCCCCCGTTGGGGACGGTGACTCCGCAAGTGCGCAGCGTCCGTCGGTAAATAGGCACGTGGCAGAGAGCACGTGACGGTGTGCAATGTGCGAGCGAGATTATCCCTCTAGGTCTGAAATGATCACCAGAATAACGCCGCGCCCATGTGTGCGACAGCGGCGATTTAGTTCCACCTAATGGCGTATTAGCCCAACGATGTGGCACACTGTCGGCCAATTAATTTGTGATCTGCCGCCCGTTGGCGAGGTTCGCTAGCCAATTTACTAGTAGCTTGGATTGTGGGCTGCTGCTGGAAGCGGAGGTGTGCGTGTGGTGGGGCATGGTGTGCAAGGTTGGGGTGGGGGTTGGGCGTGGTTCACGCTGTTCATCTGTATAGAAGCGTAGTTTTACCTGTGCATTGTATAGAAGCGTAGCTTTAACCTGTCATTGTATAGAAGCGTAGCTTTACTTGTTAATTTGTATAGAAGCCGTAGTTTACGCCTATATTTTGTAGGTAGGCATGGTTTTGCTTGTATATTTTGTAGTAGATGGTTGGCTATGTATAGTTTGATAGTAAAGCTTGGTTTACTGTATGTTTTTAGCATGGTGGTTTGCTTGTATATTTTGTAGTAGCGGTGGGTTTTACTTGTACATTGTAGAGAGAAGGAAGCTTTAAGCCGTAATATTTTGCTAGCTAGTGTAAGTTGCTGTATATTCTTGCTAGCGCATGCGTGGTTTGCTTGCTATATTCTGTAGTAGGCGTGTTTACCTGTACATTGTATAGAAAGCGAAGTTTACGCTGTTATATTGTATAGAAAGCCGCGAACAGTTTTATCCTGTACATTGCTATACGAAGGCGTAATAGTTTACCTGTACATTGTATCAGAAAGGGAAGTTTACCATATGTACATTGCTATAGAAGGGAAGTTCTTACCTGTGTAATATTGTGTAGAAGGGAAGTTTTACCTGTACATTGTATTAGAAGGGAATGTTTTTACCTGTATATTGTGTAGAAGAGGAACGTTTACGCTGTATAATGTGCTATAAAGAGCAAGTTTACCCTGTACATTGTATAGAGGGCAAGTTTACCTGTATATTGTAAATACGAAGGAAGTTACCTGATATATTGTGTAGAAGGGAAGTTTACCTGTACAATTGTCGTAGAAGGGAAGTTTACCCTGTATATTGTGTAGATAGGGAGTTTAGGCCTGTATATTGTGTAGTAGGATAGTTTACCTGTATATTGTGTAGAAGGGAAGTTTACCTGTATATTTTGTAGAAAACTAGATTATGCTAACATTGTGTTTTCTTCGATTGGCCAGGGTTTGTTTAGCGCTGTTACGTAGCATTTGTGTAGAAGACATAGATTATGGCTAACATTGTGTTTCTTCGATGCAGGGTTCGTTTACTGCTGTACATATGTTGTTTCAGGACGCATAAAGGCAAAGTCACCTGCTATGTGGCATCACCACATGGCCATCATGACCTTCCAGGAAACAAGAAGACACACCAGATTCAAATGGTAAGTAGACAGCAGAGTAGAGTGAGAACATGGAGAAATGCAGTAGCACAGAACAAGAATATGTACATATAACAGGGATCGACATCGCACGAAATTATGCTCCTATACAAGAGCACATCAGCGAGATTATGCTCATTATAACAGGGAGCAGCATCAGCGAGATTATGCTCATATAACAGCGGAGCACATTACGGAATGAGCCATGGAAGCACAGTACATGAGCAAGATAGAGTACAAGAGAAAAGAGCACAATAACAAGAATACAGGAGAATAAGAGCATAGATAGAGAACACTGAACGAGAATAAAAAAAATTGGAATGCAATAAAAATAATAATAATAACATATTAATGACAGCAAGCGAAGATAGGACACGAAAACATAACAAAGAGATTATAGAAGAATTTGACCAAAAACGAAGAGGACTAGTGAGAATTATGGTTATCGAGAACACAAAACATGAATAACAAAAAGAGGAGAAACAGAGAACAATAAGAAAACAGAGTTGACAACAGATTGAGATGAAAAAAGAACACAAACACAGAAAAGAGAACGAGAAAATATAATGGAGAAAATAACTTGGAACATAGCTAACGAGAACATGGAATAGGATAAGAACATAGCGAACAAGAATATGCCAAAATAAGAATGCCCTAAGACAGGTAGGCGCTTAACAAAACACGTCGAACGAAAGACCCAACTACAAAGCTTCAATACAACATCGTTCGTGCTATGAGTATATTTTCAAGAACGTAAGATATTTCCATAACAGTTCGAAAATTCATCTTGATGTCACGACCTATGATCATGATGCATGACGAACGCGCGCTGCTAAACTCCACTGGAATTATCTCCACTTTGCAAGGTGCATCGTTTGCCCCTAGACATGCTTGTACATTATGTTTTCGGCTTTCATAATCTTTCGCGAATCGCTTATGTGTCATAACGATCTGCACCAACCTATTTCCTTTGCTTGCACACTACTCAGAATGAATTGAAAAGCGCTAACTACGGAACAATCATATAATACGACTTGCCAGCTCAATGCGGCCTTGCACATCATACACCACCAAGTAACGCTGCACTGAGTTAACGCTGCCATTTTACAGTGACTTGAAAGCAGTTAATTCCACTCAAATTATGGGATTTACATTCTCAGCCAGAAGGCGCATCGCCAGCTCCCCATGAACACCGTCACGCACACATCTACCTGTAACCTCTTGATTGTCTAGATCGCGCTTCGATGTAGCGCGCGGTATAAGAGACACGAGCATTACATAGACATCGGAGGCAGAGTAACCATGCCACTCCCCTCGCAGATTCAAGATTGTTTAACTTAGTTTATTTAACTAAGTTACAACAGCATCGGTGATGATAGGTATAACGTGAGGAGCTATAAATAAAGAAAAAGAATGCGTGAACTTACTTAACAAAAAAAATGAGGTGCCTGTAAGAGTCAAGAGTAGCAGCTAGGCTTTCGTAGTCGACCCCCAGCATAAAGGGCATATACAAAATTCGAGTTGTCGCAGCTAGACAGTGTTCGTGAGCATAGGCATTCATTTCGAGACTGGCCACGGTGGAATATCAATACTGCGGCGTGTTAGCCGCGGTCTGATGCTACGGAGTATGCTGTATGCTGTTGTGTATTGTCGGTTACTGTGTATCGTATGTGTATGTGTATAGTGCGTGTGTGATTTCATGCTGTATGGTGTATGTGTATCGTGTTGTTTATGTGTGTGTCTGTGTGTTGTGTGTATGTGTATGTGTATGTGTGTGTGTGTCGTGTGTGTGTGTGTGTGTTTGTTTGTGTGTGTGTGTGTGTGTCGTGCTGTGTTGTGTGTGTGT